AATAATACAGTTGCCTAAATCAGTTCATCAGGAATGTTGTTACTGATGATTTCCATCATGTTACATTCACACTTAGATATAATTACCACTAATTTTAAATTAACTTCCAGAAACTGGACTCGCACATACAAATTAAAATATTTAGAACAGTTCAAGATAGCTACTCACATATTGAATTTTCTCCAGTTTTTACTTCCAACAATTGGTAATGATTAATTATAATTCCCTCAGTAACAATTTGTTCATTGTATATTCACAGTGAAAAAAAAAATGCTATCGGAAGCTGGCAGAACATACTGAATCATAACTGGAATCTGTCTTCCAACAGTTTTCATTAAAAAGCCTTTCTTAATTTAATTAATTAATTAAGATAGATTGATAGATAGATAGATAGATAGATAGATAGATAGCTCATACAGGTATGTGAATGTGTAAAATGTATGTGTGTGCATATAGTTTTTTTTAGATTATATTTCGTTATAATCATCCATTCATAGTCTATATCCGGCGGAGCCAAGATTGTGTAGTGGTTAAGGTATTGGACTAAGTGTGGGGAGGCCTAGTTTCTAGTCTCCCCATGGCACAAAAAAACAGCTGGGTGACCTTGGGTCAGTCACTCCCTCTCAGCCCCAGCCAGTGTCAGGCTTGTCAATAAGCTGAAAAACAAAACGCTCGTCACATAAATTGTAAGCTCATTTTTTCTTGTTTTATGCAAAAAGCCCATAAAGGGTTTTCAGGCAGCAATACATGTAGATATTGTCTTTAATCAAAGGAGTCAATTTGGCCATCTCAGCAAGTTCCATCATCTTCCCCAACCATTCCTCCATTGTAGGTATTGCAATGGAAAGATCCTCGTGCATACAATAATCTTGCTGCAGTTATCATATAAAAAAAACAAAGTTCCATTATTTTTTTTCCAACTGTTTGTCCATCAGCCCCAAGAGGAAGACTTCTGGCCTCAGATGCATATTAATCTTTAAAATCCTTCGAACCAGTGGATGTATTTGATTCCAACATTTTCTAGCTTTTTTACACGTCCACCAAGCATGATAAAATGTCCCTAATTGTTGTTCAGATTTCCAATATACATTTGATGTTTCTGATATTTCTTAAGGCGTAGAACAGATGGGCTTCCTTCATGGTCCCAGGTTTTCCATCATCTCCCTCTGGATTTCAGCATGAAAGACCAGTTTTGTACAAGGTCTCTTTGACCCTTTCTCAAAATTGTACAAGTGCCTACCATCCCTACAAAGTTAAGAATCTGCTTTGGGGAGGATTGCATTTCTCTTTCTGTATCTTTCTTATCCTAATACAGGTAGTCCTCATTTAGCAACTGCCTCGGATAGCAACCATTCACAAATATGACAGTAATAAATTATAGTAAAAAACCCATTTTGCAACCAATGTGCACACTTACACCCAGATTTCTGCAACTGACAGCAACGCATGCTGGAGTGAGAATAATGCTGGGATTGCTGCAAGAACTTTATCTAATGAGATAGCAACAACCAGCAATCTTTACAGCGTCTCTCTCTCTCCCTGTCTCTCTCTCTCTGTCATGTGATTTGCTTAGCGATCATGTCACTTAGCAACCATTTTGTCAGAACCAATTGAGGTTGCTAAACAAAGATTACTTGTACATCTTTGGATCCAAGTTTGATAACTGATAATAAAATGTTGATGCAACTCCTGAGTTATCATCTTGAAAGAACCGCAAACCTGAGAATTAGAAGGATACACAGCTGCAATTCAAATCTACAGGGTGCTAGCTGTTCACCTCAGTTGGTCAAATAGCTCTCATGTATAAATGGGAAATATATAAAGAACTCTTTCATTTCTATCGCCCTAGAAAGAGTCCTGTTAAGGCACAGAAATTTGCAATCATGGCCAGCTGACCATCCAAATGAAACTGTGATATGATTGGAAATGCTCTATACTGGAGTGCCTGCAAGTTTGATTTTGGCGATCTTGGTTACCCCATACCCTCCTCCTTTGGAGAAAGTCAGTGGTGGCCACACCATGGATGACAGGAGGAGAAGGCAGTTTTAGGGAAGAGATGGAGCTTAGGGCAAGGGACCGTACTCAAAACCTCCATGGGCTCAAAGGGATGATTTAACAATCCAGATTATGCCTTTTTCTTGAGAATGAGGAAGGATCGATATCTGAGTCAGAATTCATCTAGTTAGGATTTAAATTTATTTATACTGAGAAAGTCAGAGGAAAATAGAACTCATACAGCAGTTAAGGAATACAACACAATGCTTATTTGTATATATAAATGCCTCAAAGGTTTTGGCAAGCAGTTTCATTCTGAAATAATCTTATTCTATTTTATTCAACATTTGTTTAGCAATAGAATGTGAACCTCCAGTTCTGGATAATGTCAGGATTGATCCAAGATTGGATAAATTTCAGCACAAAATGGTGGTGCATTTTAAATGTCTTAGAGGATTCACAAGAGTTGGGCCTGAGTCTTCACAATGCTATCACTTCGGATGGTCTCCACAGCCTCCAATCTGTAAAGGTAAATATGGGCAATTTAAGAATTATGTCTGCATCTGAGAAGAGAAGGAGGGAGGTGAGGGGCAGGTTTTTAAAAATATACAAAATACATTCTGTTTTCTACAATGTGTGAGGAAAGCTAACTGCTGGCCAGTAAATAGATTTCTCTTAATGATATGCATTGAATGGGTCTGTCACACCTTCAGGAATTATCCAATATACAAAAGCATTGTATTCTTAAACTGAATAGAAAATGTTAATATGATCAGTAATATTAATTGTTTTTCAGTTGTTCATCCTTTGGAGGCAATGGGACTGTTTCTTTTTCATTATATTCATTGCGCTTTTGAATGTACTTTTAATGTATCCAAGCCCAAAAAGAAGTCAGCAGAATTACAAATCTAATGCAAACAGTATTTTGACACTCATCAATACAGATTTTTATTAGACTTAAAGAAATGTATTATTGAAGAAAGAAAGAAATTGCAGTTCCCCTGTATTGACAAGGAACACAACATTGTATTATCAATCAATTGATCCATCTTTATTGCAGTCTTAACCAGCACACCATTTTATGTATTACTAATCAGAAATGTAATGAATTATTCCACAAAGCTGTGCTCCATCTCCATCGAGAGTTCATCCAGTCCCCCCATGATTTCTACTTCTCCAAAAAAGAGTTAAGAAATTCTTCTTTAGGGAGGCCTAAAGAAGAACTGAATTGGGTAATAGTAATTTTAACTCTTTTTATGCTATTTAACCATTGATATTTTATTTCTTATTGCAAGCTGTCTTGAGAAAAGCAGTATACAATGTGTCTAAGCAAATAAATAATACAACATGCTATTAGTTACCACTTTTTCTTGAAAACTACAATTTGAAAATGCTAAATTCAGAATGGGTTTCAGGTATAGAATTCATAAGCTTCATTAAGTTGTTACTTAAAGTCTTCAGTCATCAATGATTACTTAGAGTGGATTTTTAAATTTCTTGTCCTTCCAAATCATCAGACCAAGACTAAAGTTGAGTATTTCTCTCCTGAAGGCAAGGATAATTAACGGGGATAAGAAGGAAAGGAACAGAAAAGGCATGATAAATTCATTTAGCATTAAGTTAGCATTAACTTTGAGAAAACTAGGGGTAGAGAAGGAATTGTGCATTCCCAAATGCTGGATCTTGCTACAATCAAGCCTGTTTCTCTTAGCAGTTTGGAGCTAAAAGCCTTGGGATGAGATTCATGGGAAACTGTTTCTATATCTCTTCTTAATCAGCTCCCCAAGAACCTTTTCATCTGTAAGGACACCAGAATATTTTCAATTTTTTTTCTGAAAGAAAGAGAGAAAATAAGGTTGGGATTATTTATTACCAAGTTCCATTTTTTTTTTTCCTGGAACTATCCTACTACTGTGGGTAAATATTCACATACCTCTTTCCCAAACTTCATATTCTTTAAATAAGGTTGGGATTATTTATTACCAAGTTCCATTTTTTTTTTTCCTGGAACTATCCTACTACTGTGGGTAAATATTCACATACCTCTTTCCCAAACTTCATATTCTTTCCTTTGTCTTCTTATGCTTTTGAGCTAAATGAGAATTG